GGCCCGGCGCCCCGCGCGCTCTTCGGCTAGGGCTTCTCCTCCGCGGCGGCCGCTGCGCCTTCGCCCCCGTCGCCTCCTGCTGCTTCTCCCCGGACTCCTGCTACCTCTCTGCGGCGCCTTCAACCTCGACGTGGACAGTCCCGCGGAGTACTCCGGCCCCGAGGGAAGTTACTTCGGCTTCGCGGTGGATTTCTTCGTGCCCAGCGCGTCTTCGTAAGTCGCCGCACTTGGAAAGGGAGCCGGCCCCTCCCCCACCGCGCGCACCCACCCTGCGTTTCCCCATCGGGATCGACCTCCTCCGGGATACCCGCCCCACGTCTGGCTGTGGCTTAAGTCCTGAGTGGCTGAAATATTTGGAGAGATGAGCTCCCCCAGGCACCCACCACCCAGTCCCACCCCACTTCTTACCTCTTAAAATTGGCAGGGGGCAGAGGAAGAGCTTTGAATCAGACCTGTGCTTAAAATTCGGGGAAAGTGGGAAATCGGCGAAGTCTGGTCCTACCGGATTCCGTAGCGCCTCTGCCAGTGTCTGGGACTCGGTCACTTTCATCTCCGAACTTCTTTTTGTCCTGTACCTCTTAGCCTTCCCATTAGTCTTTCTCGCTCCACAGACTCAAGCCCGTCCTTTTCGTTCTCCCTGAACAAACCCTCCCTCACTCTTTCCGCCTCCGTGTGATTCTGTTTGTCCTCATTCCTTTCTAGACATTCTGATGACTAAAATGACCTTACTGTCGTGTTAAATTCATTGTGCCTTATCTCTGGGACAGTCAGACCTTTGCAAATTCGAGGTTGAACAGATGAATTGAATGTGTCATCTGTTCTTTTTATAGGGATTCACTATTTAGGTCATTGTTCAGAAAGAACAAGGGTGACTGCTGAGTTTTCACTCGCTGCAGGTCATTTGAATACTGCAGTATTTAATAATGCAGTTATGTTTTCAAACTGCCAGCGTTCCGCATTGCAAGGACCGTCAGGATTGGTGACAGTTAATGTCTTTATTGGATTAAAAGTTGTCTCTGACTTTACTGAACGCTGACATCATTCTCACCACCCCACCCCCATGTTAGTTTTAGAAATACTCATACTGATTTAATGAGTGTTCACTGGATAGTTTGTGGTGTTTAAATCTTGTTTTCAAGATGGAAACTGCTGTTAGTGTTCTTTCTAAGCGCTTAAAAATTGTAATAACATATTTCTGTTTGTATATTTCCTTTATAAGATAACCTTGGGGAGGGGGTAGGATAGTGTTGATGGTCAGTACTTGGGTAGGACCATTTTTCTAATACATACGTGTACATGCCTAATTTGAGGGTGGTCTAAATATTTTTCTGCGACGGTTAAAACGTTCATCAGGATCTATTCTTATCAGCGTTTTTCTGAATGCTGCTGAATATCATTCATTTTGTAACAACCTTTGCAGCAATACATAGATTAGATGCACTTAGAGGACACTAGACATTGTTTTATGTAGCAAACTCAGTTTGTTTGTTTTTTTTTTTTTGTAGTTTCCAGCTATAGTGCTTTCTGTGAGACCTGAGCATAGATTTTCCAAAATGATAAAAATAATCATTAACTTTTGGGCAACATTTACCACCATCACATTCAATTTAATCATTTTAGTCAGCCTTATTTTTAAAAATATTTTTGTTTCCAGATACTTTTAAGTGTATGCCTTTATGGTATGGAGCATTTTAGTTGCTCCCCAGGGTGCACTTTTAATTTGTACAGTAACTCCAATAATTTTGAAGATATGTATCTGTCTTTTGTCATTTAAATATTTAAAAGTTGATGGACTATTTTGCAAATGTTGCTGTGAATTCTGCAGCAACCCTCTGAGTTTTGTGTAAAGATATATGACAAGCTGATAAACTTTACCAGTTTTTACTGTGGAAAATGTTAATATTGAACTACTGATGATATTTGTTATTGTTGGTTACAAAGCATAGTGGCTACTCTTTAATCAGTCATGATCATTGAAAATATTATGACCTCATGTGTTTACATGACCTCACATGTTTACATGACATCACCCATGGGCCTTCAATGGTAAGGTAAAATTGAACTTGATTTCATACAGTATTTAAAAATATTTGTCAGCAACTCTGTTACTGATAGATTAGGGAGCTCTAGGTATAGCCTAAATTAAAAAATAGAAACCAAGTTTGAGATTTAAAAAAAAAAAAATATATATATATATATATACACAATATATAAAAAAAAAATATATATATATATACACACAAAGGTTTCTACTTACTGAGCTTTTCAGATTTAACAAAGATTAATGTAAAATTATGCTGAATTTTGTAAAAAGGTACTTTTAGATTTAACAAGCATTAGAATGGGTACATGGGATGCCACTTACAATATTTTATTTATTGTTGTTATTTAGAGTTAAACTTCTAAAGGAAAAAAAAAGTTCACAAAATAAAAAAAAGTGTTTGCTAATTAAAGAATTCCTTTATTTTGAGGTTGTGAAGTCTACTCCCCACTTCTTCCAGTTTAGGTGTCCAAATATCTTGGGCAAGCTGTAGAATTATTTTATGTCTCATTTTTCTTGTTACAGAAAATTATTGAGTTATCTCCATATTATTGTTGTGAAAATTAATGAGTCAATGCTATTAAAGAGAAAGAGATAAAAGGTGTTAAGCAAAATGTTAAGGTGTTCCCTCAAAAAAAATCCCTCCAGAATTGAGTCTTAGGTTTGAAGTGAAAATTCATAAAAATAGTGATTAAATAAGTTATGAAAAAAATTAGCATTTCATTTTTTTTTTCTCTAAGCATTACTTGATGGTGACTATATTGTGAAACTTAGGTAAAATTTAAAACTTGTGTGCAGGCCCAGAATTAAAGCCATGTTTTTCTTGTGGAGAATAATTGGAGAAATAAAAATTGCATCCTAGGTTTGATTATAATAATGATATCTTACATTGGTACACCTGTTTTATAATTTGCAAAGCACTTTTACTTATATTTCATTTCATTCTACAACACAAACCACCAGGGGAAATGGGGGAGGCCGATAAACTCATTCTTATAGATGAGGAAACCGAGGCCAGAGTTTGAAGTCTTTAGTTGTTGCTTGAGCCCGTTGGTGTGGGGCAGAGGGGAAAGGGAGGGATCAAAAGACAGGGTGTGAAATTCAAATCCTACTTCCTTTTTATATTATATATTGAATTTTTTAAGAAGATAATTAATTGAACAATTTATTTATTCTTTAAATATGCTATATAGCTCTCCTTTTACATATATATTTATTTCAAAATAATGCTAAAATGAATACTACTGGATTTGAATTCTTGCTTTTCTCCCCATTAAACACTAATGGAGCCTTGTTTACAGTTACTGTGTGTTCCCATGACCCCAAAGGCAAGGTATGGTGAGTGTCTTGGAAGCAGAGGGTCTTTCTAAATCTTCAGTGGTTCTCAGTCCTAACTTCATATTTGTGATATCTGGAAAGCTGTTTAAATAAAACTTCTGTCCTGACTGCATTTTAGATCTAAAAGTAGAGCTCTAACTTGATATTCCAATGGCCTGTGAATCATTTCTCCTTGACTAGCCCACTGTAACTCAATTTGACTAAAAATGAACTATTTTTTACCAAGAGATGTCAGTTACACCTGTGTTTCTATTAATGGTGCCATCCTTTTCTCTGTCGCCCTGGAAATAATTTTGTATTCCTCCCTCTCATTTTCTATTTTTCTTTGTCTCTCCTACTGCACTCTTCCAATATTAGTCATCAGGCTGAAGGTTCTAGAAATTCTTCCTTGTTAAGGTTTTATTGAACATATCTCTGCTTTCTACTGTTACCGCCTTATTTCAGCCCCAGTCATCACAAGTGTGGTCTGTGGCACTCTGGTCCTCCCTCATCCCTCTACCCATGATTTGCCTCTTAGACCTGCAAAACGTCTTATTTGTTTCTACTAGTTTTATTTCCCTGAAACATCCTTTTTGGTCCAGGTATTCTATTGCTAAATTCCCTCAACAATGCTTCTGTTGCCAGAGAGAAAGTCTAAACTGCTTAACCTGGTAAGACCCCTTGCAATCTGTCCCAACCTGTATGTATTTTTTAAATGTCATGTTCCGTTTCTCCCTTCACTGTTGTAGCTGTCTTCCCAACGCTTTTCCAAATGACTCCAACTGATTTTCATAAAGTTCTGTGACTCTGGTTGATTTTTCTCAACATAATAATATTCATGTGTAGACTACAGGCTTATTTAGAAAGCAAATCCTGTGTTGATTACTCCTGATGAAGACCATTGGTTTATAGGACATTATAAAGGAAAAGAGAAGATGTATGGAATTTGAAGTTACTGTTTCTGTTTCACATATAATTGCTGACTCAGTAAAAAAAATTTTTTTAAATAAAAAGTAAATAAGTAAATGTGAAACTGGAATATACCTCCAAAATAACATTCAGCACTACTTTATACACATTTCATTCTGTGAACATGTCTGATCATTCTTCAGGAGTTCTTTCAGGTGAAGTCTCATTGGTCAACCCAGAGTCAGCTAGATATATTAAACATGCTTTATCTTGGGACGGTCAATGCTGAAAGCAGCCAAATAACTTAGTTCATCTGGAGGGTTTGGACAATGTACTTGTCTTTGGCAGGTTGTCCCTCCTTGGTAGTCAAGGTCACATTCTCTGAAGCAACTGCCCTTCAAGTACACTTTGGATAGGAAGTGCATGAAAAGGGTATCGTCCTGGTTGGTTTCTCTGATCCTCTTGGCTGTCTCTCTCTCATTTCCTCTTCCCTTTCCTGTACCTCTCCCTCCCTGTCTCTCCATTTTTTCTCTCACCCTTTCCTCCTCTATCTTCTTCCCTCTCTCCCCTTCCATCGTTCTGTCCCCCACTTCTCCCTCACCCATCCCCCCACTCCCTCTCTCTCCTGAGCCCCCCCCCCCTTATGTTTTAGCTCTTCTTGGTATGATTCATGTTGATGTATGTAAACCTTAATTCTGGAGTCTTAAGGAGTCATTTAGTGGAAATGTCTCAAGTCCTATAAAGAATGGGGAGGATGGGAATCCTGATTATGTTCTTTGGCAAACTTTTTGGATGGGGGAGGCTATCAGGAGAAAGTTGCAGGCATATGAAACTGAGTTGATCAGCTTCAAATTTTCACTGCTAATCAGTGAAATCTCTTGTGTGCCTCACCTGACATATGTACTTACTTCCCAACTCTCCACCATTGCCAGGAAATGTTGCAAGCCAACTTTCCTCCTCCTCCCCTCCTCATCCTCTCCTTCTTCTCCTTCATTTGAGTTAATTACTTCATGATTAATGGCCCTTTGAGAAAACTGAGGAAAGAAAAGCCCTTTTGAAAACAGATAAGTTTTATATTTCCTACTTAGTTAGGGAATTAATACAATTAATTGTATTAATTGTTGTTTTTAGTTCCAGTGCCATCATCTTGTATTTTTGTGATGGTTTCAGATTTTCTAAGTTTGCGTTTGTCTGCTATCCACCTTCAGAAAATTTCTTTTTAAAGTAATTAACAGTGGGCATTGTTATTTCCATCCAGTAGAAAAGGGAACAGAGACTCAGAGATTTAAAGTGACTTCCCCAATTGATTTGTAGTGTTTGTAACCTTTAGTCCCAAACTGTTTTCATTTGGTAGTGCTGCTTATATTGTAAACATTTTTCTGATCTGTTGCTCCTCTTCCCCAATTAAGCTGTTGTAGACATTCATTAGACATCCTTAGATGAACTTCAAGTAACAATTGTTTAATTTTTTATAAAGCATTTCATTAACAGACTTTTTTTTTTTTTTTTTTTTTTTTAAAAGCAAGGCCACACCCACCTGTCTGGGCCCAACTATCTAGTCGCCCATTTGGTCTCAGCTGCTCTGGCCACCCATGTGGCCCCAGACATCCAGCTGCCACAGCCACCCATGTGGCACCACCTGCAGGTGTGGGCCCAGTTGTTCAGCTGCCCATGCGGCCCTAATTGCCCTGGCTGCCCATGTGGCCCTAGTCACCCCAGCTGCCCAAACAGCCCCATTCACCTTCACAGTCCCAACCACATGCACAGCCCCTGCCAAGGATGTAGCTGCCAGACCCACCCCCCCCCAGAATAACTGAGTCTACCTAGAACTACTCGTAATAACTTCGTATAGCACTCTACCGAGTGAGCCACAGGCCGGCCCTCATTAACAGACTTTTGTTTTTTGTAGTATGTGTTGCTTTTTAGATTCCTTTTCTCATATAGAATCTTTTACCACTTTGTACTCTTTATTCTAAACAAATATTTATTTTTTCACTGCGCAGCTCACTCTTAAAACTTTAACATGTGTCTAAGGTAATTTTTCTTTTTCCATCTCTCCATTTTTCTCTTTTAGAAACTTAAATATTTTAGGAGCGACTTAAAGATCATGATGACATTTCGGACAAAGACCTTTATTCCTCAGCTTTTTCCCCACTAACCTAGCATTTAGATAATGACAATGCTCACACATTCCTTTTACATTATTCTACTATTTCTGCAGCATTTCACCAGTGTGCAAGACTGCACATGAAGGTATGCTTAGAAAAGCTTGATGAACATCCATATTAGTACATCTAATTACCATCATTTCATGCCTATAATGTGCGAATGGTCTGATGAAAAGCAGCAGCCTTGTTTCTGGTCTTATCCAAGGAACTGAAGCTATGTGCTGCCAATAGAGTGCAGTTTCCATTCAGAGAACTCTCCCACTGTGTCCTTTTTTCTGTCTTTGCTGAAGGCTACATTCCTAATAACGTCCCAGCTCTCTGTTATAGTGCCAAGGAAAGAAAGTATTTGAAATCCAAAATTATGTAGAGATGTTACATAAAAAAACCATTTTAAGGATAATTTAAATTATTGGGTGTTTTATAGAGAATGATTTCTGCATTCTAGAGGAATGGGACAGAGTAGGAATGACATTTATATATGGCTAGTTCAAGATTGAGACCTACAGCTATCAAATTTACTTGCTACTTCTCTGTCAACCTAAACATTTCTTGAGTTCTTATTATGTGGCAGGCACAAAGGTGAATTAGAGACCTCTACGTTCATAGAAGAAATTCTTCTTAAGGTGGGAGAATAGTTTTGATAAAAAAGTATAAAAGGTTCTGGAAAGTGCGATGTGATGACAGTCCAGAAATGAATTTTGCCTGTAGGTTTCTGGGCCAATTCTGAGAACCCGCTCTCCTATCCTGACCTGCTAGAACCTGGCATTATCCAGAACACTAAAAACATGTCTGTATCTGTGCTTGTGTTACCCTTCTTAGGACTACTGCTTGGGATGACCCAAGCCCTTTTAAAAGCTATCCACTGTGATAAAAAGCACACTTGCATGAAATGTTCTTTTTCTTTAACATATACTCAAAAATCATTTAAATCAGATGTGAGGGGCAGTTTTGTGATTTTTATGTTCAAATTTTTCACCTGTTGAAAGGAAAAAATATAAATTTACATATTATAATTTATACATATGTGTATATGTAATTTAGCTGTGTTAACCAACTGTGCTCTAGAAAAAGAAGGGAGGGAGTTGTGATGACAACGAGCTGCTTCCATACTCGTGGGTGGTAGGGGCTCTCTTATAGCCTAATTTTTTTCTTATGAAAAGATCCTTGCTGAATGAAAACTATGTTGATTTCCTACCCAGTATCATTTTGCTACTATGGGAGAGAGCCCACTGGTGTTTTACTGATGCCAAATATGACTGCATAAAGCTTTATTTAACAGGGTGTGGTTTGGTTGGGAGTTTCATTTTTATTTTGAATTTGTGGGTTTTAAGTTGAGTGTCAGAAAGTATGATTCGATGTAATCCAGCAGTTCACACAGCCAGTTTTTATCTAGTCTGGGTGAGATTTGGCAGCTACTACCCAGAATAAGTGAAATCTATTTAAAAAGTTAAAATGAATACATTCCATATTTAAGATGTAGGTTTGTTCATAATTTCACAAAAAGGTGAAAAGTGGTTATAAATATTTCCTTTGCCAGAAGAATTTAAGCGACTTAGTGTTTAATGAAATGAAATGATGATGGCAATAGCATTTATTTAGGGCTGTCTGTGTCTGCCTTTATTCCGCTTTTTCTTTCCTCTTGTATTTCAATGAATTTCTTCTCGGTCTCTTTTATTGTACCCTCTTTCTCTTCCTGACTGTAAGTGTCATTGCCACTCAGAGCCCACTCATTGGCCCTCTTATCTCTGAACCATCTCTTGGGTGAAATCATCCATTCTGTGTCCTGATGCTCTCACATGTTATCTCTCAGGCAGATCTCTCCTCAGAGCTCCAGACTGCCAACTAGGTGTCTCACAGACATCTCAAACTCACATATTAAGAATGGAATTCATGGCTTTTCTATAAACTACGTTTATAGAAAAGATGCCTTCTGTTTCCCTATTCTCTAGGCTTTTCTCTCAAAAGACTCAAGAATGAAACCTAGGTGACATTCTGTTAGTTTTCTTTGTTAAATAATGTCATTTTTCTGCTTAAAACACAGCGAAGGCTTCAAATGGCCCTTAGGATACAATCCAGTTTTACCATGGCTAAAAGGCTCTGCTTACCTTAGCTTTTGCCAGGCTCCTGACTTTATCCTGTGCCACTCCCAGCTTGCCCTCTCACTGCAGCCACACCTCTTTTTTTGGTTACTCCTGGAGACTAAATTCTTTCCCTGCCCAGCATCTTGCTACCTCTGCCTAGGGTGCTTCCATCCACCTCTTCATCTCACTCCCATATCCCATCTTTCCCCCCTACCCTTCATCCCCAACACACAAACACTGATCTTGTATATCTCAGTTTACTGGTGAATTCCTTAGAGATAACTTCCCTGAGTACTTTATCTAAAAGAGGTCTTTCCTCCCCATTCCTTAAGGATAATTTCCTTAGAGTGATTTCCCTTTCTCTAAAGGAAGTCTCTCTCCTCCAATCCTTAGAGATGACTTTGCTTTATCTAAAAAAGTTCTCCCCTCCCTATTCCCAAATAACCTCTCAGCCTATTGTTTGCTTCCTTCGTAGCACTTGGAATAGCAACCTGTTTCTCCGTTGCCTAGTTCCTTAACTCCAGAGGAGTGGAAGCCCCACTAAGAGCTGAGGAATGCAGGTTGTTTTATTCTTGTTATCTCTCGTGCCCAGCAGTGTGCTTTACATACAGGAAACTCAGTTCATATCTTTTCTTGAATACGTAGAAAGCGACTAATGTAAAGGTCTGTTTATTCTTAAAAATTTTGACTCTTGATTATCTTGTCTTCAGTTTATCTTACCCTGCTAAGAAATTGGATAATGGTCCTAATCTTTGACAAGGAATTGATTAGTTAATCTTATGAAGATACGTTTACCAGTCACTATTTAAAAACATTGAAGTACAGTAGTTCTAAATCAAGATAATTTTTTCAAATGGGAAAATGATACTATTTAGAATTACTATACATTGGAGTCATTCACTTAGAATCATTTATTTGTTTATTTTTCTCAACATTCAGGATTTAGAAAATGCATAGCACACACACAAAAACAAATACAAATACAAACCAAAACAAAACTTCCCTGACTGTAACCAGCATGCAGTTTTTAAACAGCTTCATTGTGATATATGATATATAGTAAACTGTACATATTTAAAGTGTACAATTTGACTAGCATACATTTTTAAATGAATGTAACCCTGATGTTGCCTTACAATGTTATCAGGAAGAATAAACTATACCAAATAATTATTCATTTGGTACTTTCTTATATATAAGAGAGTACCAAAACAATAATGATTATACCCTCAGGGAAGGGTTTTAAAAATATTTGTGGATAAAATCAAGAGATGACTGCTCATCATAAATCATAAGGTATTGCTTATGCTTTGTGTCATTTAAAATCTTGTCTACCCCTTTTGTATTTTAGCAGGATGTTTCTTCTGGTGGGAGCTCCCAAAGCAAACACTACCCAGCCTGGGATTGTGGAAGGAGGGCAAGTCCTCAAATGTGACTGGTCTTCTAGCCGTCGGTGCCAGCCAATTGAATTTGATGCAACAGGTAAATGTTGATGTGTGGTGGTCATTTCTCTTAATTTACATCATTTGATTGAATTAAGCAATTGCTTTAGTTTAAATGTAACAGTTTAGTAAAGTACTGTATATAAGCACCTCAGATCCACAGGGCAAGTTATATAAAGACAAGTGATTTATTATATAATATTTTTCTACAAGTTGGTGGCATATGAAAGCATTAAAAATACATTGTTTCATTTGCTGTGAATGTCTTCCACTTTAAACTGATAGTGTCAACCTGCAGAAATTTGGAGAAATCTATTAAGATGATTTTGCATCTCTTCTGAGGAGAGGCAGCTCATAGGCGCAGCAAGGCTTTCTGTAGTTTCGTGGTCAGCCAAATTGAAGCATGACTCACTGACTGTTGTAGAAGATCAACTCTCTAATCATGGATTGGGTTGTGCTATGAAAACCAGTTGACACGTTTTTTGTGTTCAAGTGGATTTAAGTTACTTAAAAAAAAACTCTTATCCAGAATTTATTGGGTTATGTTCTGATAACAGGAGAATTTTATTTTCAGGGACAAATTTCAGTGTCAGTCAGGATTATGATAGTAAGGAGAAAAATAGCATACGGAAGATGAGAAATAACTTAAGAAATAACTTAAGTTTTATATATATTTATATCAGTGAAATAAAACATACATAGTCTTGTACAAATTTATGTTGGTATATTTGTATGTATTTGTGAAAACTTAGAGAGTACTCAAAGAAATTATGTGGTATTCTTCCAGTATAATAGTTTTACAAAAATTTTTAATGATTCTAATTTGTTAGCCCAAACAGAGTGTTTAAGACAAACCTAAATGAAATTAATCCTTTTTTCCATATTGTTATTTCCTGCTGGTTCCGATTTCTAGGAAAAATAATGTCAGTGAAACAGGAATCATGATGTGTATTGTTCCGTTTGAAATGGTGATGAGTACCAAGATGATTGTCAGTTGTTAAGCCAGCTGCTAATGAGAAACAGGTCACATGTGTTTGGTTTTTTTCCATTTGAAACCATCTACATTAAACCCTGTTTTTTTCCCATATGTAGTTAATACTTGGAAAACCCCAAGAGTTTGTAAACAGGCTCAATTTTACCACAAACGGAGAAATACTTGTGACTCTGAATATTATAGGCCAGGGCATTTATCTTTTAACAAAATATGAATACTAATAAAATGAAACTGTAGTTTAGTTTTGATAGGTTGACCTGTTCAGATATGTTTCTGCACTCAACACCATAGGTTTTTGTGCATTGCAAGATAATTCATTGCTGTTCTTTTTTTGAAATTTGACTTCAGATAGTTTTTTTGCCTATTGAAAATATATGCACATGGTAAAAAAAATTTCAAGTAGTCCAAGAGAGTGTACAGTGAAAAATAGGACTCTCTCACATCATCCTGCTCAGAGGCAATCACTTTTTAAAATTTCTTTTATCCTTCTAGGATTTTCTTACTCCTATGCATGTATCAATCCTTTAAAAAAAAAAAAGGCAACTCAAAAATAGAAACACACTAAATATACTGATAGGCACCTGAACCCAACCCCCTATCTGACAATATAAATCTCTTGTAGATCTTTCCATATAATATATATGGATTTACCTCATTTTTTGTTAGTCAGTGATAGTATTCTGTTGTATATATTTACCCTAATTTATTTAACTTATGTTTCTATTGATGGATATTTAGGTTGTTTCCAGTCTTTTGTTATTATAAACATTGCTATAGTGAAAATCTTATACACAGGTGTTTGTACAAATTGTATATGTGTAGGATAAAGTTGTAGCAAGAAATTTTTGGATCAAAGTGTATGCATATTTAAAGTTTTGTTAGGTACTGCAAATTATTCTTCACAGAGGCTTATACCCCTCTAATTATGTTTTCTGACACCCATGCCAATACCATTTATCACCATATTTTAAATCTTTGTCAACTTTATAGGAGAAGATAGTGTCTGTTATATTAATTCACATTCTTTTAATTAATGGTAAGACTGAATATCTTTGCATTTGTTTGTAAACCATAAGTATTTCTTTTCCTGTGAACTACTTTCAGTATATTTTTACATATTTTCTATCAATTTCTGAATGTTTAAAAATGAATCTCAGGGGCTGGCTAGTTCAGTTGGTTAGAGTGTGGTGTTATGGCACCAAACTCAAGGTTATGGATTCTCATACTGGCCAGCCACCAAAAGAATAAGTAAATAAATGAATATGTATCTTACTGCATGGCCCATGCTGCCTGTGTGGCACGAGCCTTCCAGCTGTCTGAGAGACCCCAACTGCCCAACCATCAGCAAGGCCACACCCACCTGTCTGGGCCCAACTATCTAGTCGCCCATTTGGTCTCAGCTGCTCTGGCCACCCATGTGGCCCCAGACATCCAGCTGCCACAGCCACCCATGTGGCACCACCTGCAGGTGTGGGCCCAGTTGTTCAGCTGCCCATGCGGCCCTAATTGCCCTGGCTGCCCATGTGGCCCTAGTCACCCCAGCTGCCCAAACAGCCCCATTCACCTTCACAGTCCCAACCACATGCACAGCCCCTGCCAAGGATGTAGCTGCCAGACCCACCCCCCCCCAGAATAACTGAGTCTACCTAGAACTACTGAAACTACTGAGTCTACTGGGAACCAAAACTAAAATATTCCAACCAACAAGCAATATATAATACACTCTCCTCAGAAGCTACCCCAGAGTAATAGAAGAAACAGCTATTCCACCAGATGACTAGGCATCAATGTGAGGATACTAGAAATGTGAAAAAACAAGAAAATATGACACCACCAAAGGAATACTATAATTCTCAACTACCAGACCCCATACAAAAGGAAGCCCTTGAAACTCTGAAAAGGAATTCCTAATAGTAATCTTAAACTCAGTGAGATACAAGAAGACTCAACAAAATGAGAAAAATCCAGGATATGAAGGAGGACATTTACATAGAGATAAATACCATAGAAAACAATGTAGCAGAACTCCTGGAACTGAAAGGCTCATTCAACTAAATAAAAACTACGATTAAGAATATAAGCAGCAGGCTAAAGCAAGCAGAAGAAAGGATTTCTGATTTCAAACACAGTCTTTTGAAATAACCCAAGCAGACCAAAAAAAAAGAGAAAAAAAGATAAACAAATTTTTTTAAAATGAAGAAAATCTAAGAGAGCTGTCAAAAAAGTTCACAAACATCCAAATTATGGTTGTTCCAAAAGGGGAGGAAAAGGAAAAGACATTGAAAATGTATTCAATGAAATAATAGCAGAAAACTTCCCAGGTATTGGAAGAGACATGGACTTCCGGATTCAATAGGCTCAAAGATCCCCAAACAGATTCAATCAAAAAGGTCCTCTCTAAGATACATTGTAAGCAAACTGTCAAAAGTCAAAGACAAACAGAGAATCCTAAAAACTGCAAGAGAAAAGTGTCAAGTCACCTGTAAGGGAGCCCCTGTCAGACCACCAGCAGACTTCTCAGCAGAAAACCTACAGGCAGGAAGACATGGGATGATATATTCAAAGTACTAGAAGAAAAAAACTGCCAGCCAAGAATACTGTACCTGACAAGGCTATCCTTCAGAAATGAAGGCAAAATAGTGTATTTCCCAGACAAACAAAAGCTATGGGAGTTCACCACCACACAACCAGCTCTACAAAAAATCCTTAAGGGAGTCCTGCACCTGGAACCACCAAAATGTAATCACTACCATGAATACACAAACACTACTGGTAGAGCAGTTATGCAAATAAGAAAGAGAAAGAAACTGTACCACACCACCTGAAAAAAACCAATGAACACTGAAGAGTAACAATAAAAGAGGGAAAAAGGAACAAAAGATATTTAAATCAACCATACAAAACAAATGTCAGGAGTAAGATTGTACATTTCAATAACAACGCTAAATGTAAATGGATTAAATTTCCCACTCAAAAGACAGACTGATTGGATTAAAAAGCTAGACCCAACCATATGCTGTCTAAAAGAGACTTATCTCACCTATAAAGCCACCACAGACTAACAGTGAAGCAATGGAAAAATATATACCACATAAATGGAAACCAAAAATGAGCAGAAGTAGCTATTCTCATATGAAATTGACTTTAAACCAAAAACCATAAAAAAGGAGACAAGGAAGGCCATCATATAATGATAAAGGGATCTATCCATCAAGAAAACATAACAATCATAAATATATATGCACCCAACACCCTAGCGCTCAGATATACAAAGCAAACCCTATTAGACCTAAGGAAAGAGATAGACCCCAATGTGATAATAGTCAGGGACCTGAACACACCTCTCTCAATATTGAACAGATCATGTAGGCAACAAATCAACAGAGAAACACAGGATTTAAACTACACCTAAGACCAGTTGGACTTGGCAGGTATCTACAGAATGTTTCACCCAACAACTATAGAATATACATTCTTCTCATGAACACATGGAACATTCTCCAGGATACACCACATGTTAGGACACAAATCAAGTCTCAACAGATTTTAAAAAATTGATATTTCTAGAATCTTTTCAGACCACAATGGATTAAAACTAGAAATCAATAACAACTGAAACTCTGGAAACTATACATACACATGGAAATTAAACAACAGGCTCCTGAGTGACCAATGTTTCCAAGAAGAAATTAAACAGAAAGTCAAAAATATTCTTGAACCTAATGAAAATAAAGACACATCATACCAAAATCTGTGAGATTTGCAGTACTAAGAGGAAAGTTAATTGCAATAAATGCTTACATCAAAGGAATGAAAAGATTTCAAATAAACAACCTACCACTATATCTCAAAGAACTAGAAAAACAAGAACAATCCAATCCCCAAATAAGTAGATGGAAATAAATAAGATCAGAGCAGAACTAAATGAAGTAATGACCCCCCAAATGATGAAGAAGATTAGTGAAACAAACAGTTGTTCTTTTGAGAAGATAAGCAAAATAGACAAACCAGCAGCTAGTCTAACTCAAAAAATGAGAGAAGACCCA